ATTTTGTTTTCTCTAATTAATTTATTTATGTAAACCCGTCTTTCTTTATTCTGTTTATACACTATAAAAGAGAACATTAAAATATTTTCATAATATGTAAGTAATTGTATAGAAAAATTGCAACTTACAAAATAAATTATTAAAACTTATAAATATTATGAACCCTGTACTTATGTAAATATTTTTTTCTTTCTTTTTTTGTTTTTTCTTTGTGATCAGTCAAATTTTTTTTTTAAATTTAAAAAAAAAAAAAATAACATTACTTTTAATTTTTCAAATTTAACGATTTACACGTAATTTTAACTGCATATTCATTCATACAAATATATTTATATACAATAATAAAGTTATAATTATGATTTTTTTTTTTAATTTTTTATTTTTTTCAAATATACCAACACTAACATTTTTCTTTATTTTCTCTTTTTGTCATAAAATTTCAAACAGAATTAGATTTCTTCTTTCTTTATTCTTTTTGCATATATTTAGGATTAAGTTTAAAATAGACTCTTATACAATAATAAACAATGATTGCTAGCATTCTATTTAAGGGTATAAAACACGCTTAACTATTTCGGAGTATTTTGTGTAAATGGAACACTATTTTGCATTGAAATTCTATAATATAAGAGTAAAAACTAATTTATAAAAAAATTTAAATACATACTAAGTATTTGACGTTTATTTTTCGCATAAAAAAATACACAAAGTCATAATACCGGAATAAATGTGTTCAATTATTTTTCTCAACTACTCCTTTCTAGAGGCATTGGCGTTAGTTAAGAGAACTGTACAACTGGTTTACAGTACAGTAAGTGTTATACGTTACATTAAGAGTGTTATTATACTTTTAAATAGAGAGCTAACAATGTGTACGAATTTTATTTTAAGTATGACTCAATTTTTCATATACATACATACCATTCAAGTTTTTTTTTTTCTATATTTTATATAGAATTGAAATAACTTCAATTCTTTTCTTTATATTTTTAATGAATTTTGAATTTATACTTATATACAAGTCTTCAAAACTTTGAAGAGATCTGCAAAGTTAATTTAATGTCTCTTTCAATTGTTTAGTTTTTTTTCCTAATTGTTTATAATATTCTTGCAGTTATCTAAACTCTGACAAAAAATCTAAAAGTAAATTTCCTAAACATTTAGCAATTATCAAAATGCATTGAATTTCCTTACATTTATATAATTCCATTTTTTGAAATTTTTTTTGTAAGGAAATGATTTGCAAGAATTGAATTAATTAACATTTAATTTTTAGAAAAATTAGCAAAAAGAACAAAAGTTTTGTAAGATAAAAAATTATAGGTATTTGTGTTCATATTTTAATATTGAAATTACGAGACTTCTGTGTTTCTTTACTAAAATAAATAAATTTATAAAAGTATTAATTAAAAATTTAAAAAATTGGGACTTGTTCTGGGAATCGATAATGATGTTATCGTAGAAAAATCGATATTACCACTGTAAATACCAACTATATATTTTAATCTACAATGCATTTTTCAAAATTTATGCGTCATTGTTGTTGCAGTAACTATATGAAATTTTCCAAAGTATATCTGCAAATCACCCAGAAGATCTAAGAAAAAAATTGATCATGCAAATATTTCTGCAAATTACAATGCCTTTGCAGATTTCTTCAAAATTCCAATGAAGCGTATATTTAATATAAATCCAAATTTTGTTATATAACAATAATATAAAACATTTTTTATTTTAAGTTCTATAGTAATAAAATTTTGTAAGATTAAAGAGTTAAAGTAAAAAATAATTTAGTTTTTTTTTGTTTTTTTTTTTTATTTCTACTACCCTGAAATGTTCAATATTCAAAAATATAACATTTTATTTTTTTTTGTTAGTTATTATTTAAAAAAATAATTTAAATAAATTCAAACACATTTGTTTTTTTTTCATATTATTTACGTAATTAAATTTTTTCACATTTTTTAAATATTTTCAGATATATATTATATATATATATATATATACAAATACATATATGTATATATATATAATATATAATATATATATATATGTATATATATAATATATGTATATATATAATATATATATATATAATTTATATATATATATATATATATATATATATATAATATATATATATATAATATATATATATATATATATATATATATATATATATATATATATATATATATATATATATTTATATATCATCTACTATAACAACAATTTTCAATGCATTTAAAAGATTTTTATGTTAACCTAATAATATAAAAATAATTGTTACTAAAACTCATATTTTTTGTTATAACATTTCTAATTTTCAATCTCTATATTTTATTTTATTTTTTGCCTTTTATATTCGTAAATAAAAACAGAACTAATTGTTAGGCACTTTTTACACTTTATTTTGAACATTGAACTTGTTTTTCTTTTTTTATAATAAAATTCTATAGATTTTTTAATTCAAGTTTGATTATAAGAAAAGAATAAATAAATAAGTTTTTTGTTTTTAATAAAATCTACAATTTTTTGCTATTTTTTTTTTGTTTTAAGAACACCTATTAAATTGTTTCATTTATGTTTTTAATGCCGAAAATATATTCTATTTGGCCACTAAGTATGTATTATAGGGTTACCACTCTTAAACAATTTTATAGGTTAAACTTAAGAATTAGGATGAATATAATATTTTTTTGCTAATTGATTTCAGCTCTGAAAACAAATAGATTATCTTAATGCAGTTGTTTGTTTATTTTTATTTTGACAACAGTATACATATTTGCCTTTTCTATTTTCTCGTTTTTTTTTTTAATTTTGAGATTCGTTGCAAATAGGCGTTTTCAATGGCACAAAGTGCTTAAAAATAATTTAAGTTCTTAAGCTGGATTCATTGGTTCGTCGTTTTTGAGATGAGCTATTTAAAGTCGAACTTCTTTTTCTCTTCATTGTTAATTGATTCGTCTGAAAAAAGCTGATCGTGTTTTTTTATTATAATGCATTTATTACCTTTTTGACAAGAATTTTATGTAATTCCAATAGTTCAGTGTATATAAATTTGACGTTTTAAAAAAATCTTCGGATTAAAGTTGAACTTGATTGTTGAACTTTTTGAGAGAGAGAAAAAAAGCTATACTATAAATAAAAAAAATGTCAAAAATCCAAATTTTCATGTAAAATACATCAGCTCGTCGTTTAACTGACGAACCAATGAATCCAACTTTAATAATACAATTTTTCTTTCAAACAACTGACATAGACATGACTGACAGCCCGTAATTTTCTTTAATAATATTAACTATGACATAGAATTATTATTAAGTAGCTCTCTGTGCGTTGTTGCCAGATAGAATATATATATTTGACATTAGTTTAATGTTACTTTCAAAATTGTATTTTATTTTCTTTTAAATTTTTATTTTCATATTGGGTTTTTCATATTGTATTTTCCATTTTAGTTTTTTAATTTTATTTTATACAGAAAAGTTTTTAATTTTTTTTGGTTTCTTATTTCTCATTTATTTAATTATTTTTTTTTTTGTATAATGATCATGTAAAGCGTATTGGCCACAATTTATGGACATTTAAAAAAAAAACTAAAATTTATACATTATGTTAATAAATTTTTTATATTTAGAATATTCAATTACTATTTTTTTATTTTTCTTTATGATTCAATTTTTAATAAATATTTTTAATGTTTTCATTTTAATTAAAAGTATATTATTATTATTTTTTTTGGTTTTTACTTGAATTTTGCATTAAAGATTTTTCTTATATAGGATTTTATGTAATAACTTTATGTACTTATTTATAATTTTATGTTATATATGTATGCATCTATTTAGGGTAATATGAAAAAATCTGTATATTTTAAAAAGTCTTTCGCTTACGTGTTTTTATATTTAATAATTTTATATGTAATATGTAATTTTTTATGCCTTTCGAAGCATATTTACAACTCACTTCTAATTATATTTATATTAATATTTAATTATATAGTATTTTATATAATATTTATTAGACTTATTAAGAAAACACACAAAATTGTACTTTATAAACTCATCAGTAATTTTGTTTTAAATTTTAATACTGGATTTACAATTTGTAAAAAATTTTTATTTATATATTAAGTAGTTTCAGTTGAAATTTTATCAACTAAATATACACAAATTATAAATATATTAATAAAATATAATATAGAATTTCATTTTATAAAAATAAAAATTGATTTATTTAATGTATACCACAATATTATAATTATAATAAAAAATTAAATGCACCTACTATGCCAATTATTTGTTATTTATTTGTTATTAAAATGTCAATTGAAATTAATTTAGGAGTAAAAAATTGACAGACCTAACAGAAAATGCATGCAATTTAAAAAAATTTGTTATTTCTTCATTTTAGTTGACAGAACGTTAATCACAATAAACACTCATAATTAGGGCTTTAGTTTTCATTAGACAATAATAAAAGAAAATTCAGCTTTTGTGTACCTGAATTATTCAAATATGCACATTTAGTTCCAAAAATTTAAATTAAAGTGTTTATATTAAAAAATGTAGTTTTTCCAAAAAACAATTTAATAAAGTTTATCAAGAAGTGATTGTATTTAATTAATATGTTTAAAGTTTTAAGCAAGTAATGTAATAATTATGGTTGTCGAATTAGTACAATTGACATTAGATCTGCTTTATAAAACTGAAAATTATTCATAATTGACTATAGATTAAAAATCAAATAAAAAGATTTTTCTGCAATTTTTATAACAAAAGAATTGTCAAAAAATAATAATCGTAATTGAAGATATCTTCACTTTGTATTGTGGTAACATTAAATTTAATTCAGACTAAAACTTAAAACTAAATTAAATAATATAAACGTATTTACTCTAAAAAAAACCCCTACTTAAAAAAAAATGCTTTCTATTATTAAATTAATTATTTAAGTTTTGAATTTAGTCTGTAATATTTATTTTGTTAAGTCTCTTATAAAGTATTTTTTAAATTTGTTAATTGTGAAGCAATTGACGCCATTTTATCTTCATATTTTACTGTTTATTTAGGCATATATAAGAATATTTTTTTTTATTAATATAAAAATAGAAATGAATCTTTCTTTTAAATTTCATGTGTATATTTAAACTTTTTTCAAAAATTTTAATAACAATTTTTCGTAAAATAAAGACAAATATTGTTAAACTTTTCCTATCTCCTTCTTAAAATTTCAAGATTTCCATTCCCTCTTAACGAAAAATTTTGCATTATTAAAATAAAATACAAATGAAATTCGACAAAAATTGTTAAAACCTTCATTTACTGACTATACCATTAAGAAAAACAATAATTTTTTTTTTTAATTTCTTAATTTCAATTTTTGATTTTTCTTTAAATCTTAAAATTAATTTAAAATGAACGAAAGAATTATACTGTCAAAAAAATTTCGTACGAAAAACTAATTTGAACTGTTTGAACCTACTAAAAATTAAGTGAATCTTATTAATAATATTAATAAAATGTAATATGCAAGGTAGAGAGAGCCATCTTTATAGTCTTCCATATAAATTTTTAAATACGTTTTTTTTATAATAAAAAATTCGATATTTTCAGTCGGTATACGTGAAAATAGACAGTGGCGACTCACTGAAATATTATTTTTTAAAAAAATTATACGACCTTAATAAATTTGTTCTAAAATTAAATTTTTAAATTTGAAAAACATCACATTTCGAAATATAAGTATATATTTCAACGAGATAACGTTTAAAATATTCGTATAAAAAGCGACTAAAAGCGCGCAGTATAAACTTTCGATGCAACGTCAAAATGGGTTAAATAATGGGCTTCAATTCAATCTTGATATTATAACCTAGATTAATAAATCACTACGATGGCTTATTAGTAATTAAATATGTAAAAATTTAACAAAATGTTTGTCATTTCTTTCGTCACTGGAAGTATAAAATATACTGCCTAGTTCTACCATTCACAGAATTGTATCCAACTAATAAAATTTTAAAATAACCGAGCTGTAATAATTGGATATAATCAAAATTAAATTCTTCCATACATTCATACATACATATTTGATGAATTTGAGCTATATTTTTATTATGGCTGGCATGAAATTTATTTCTTTTAATGTTTATTCATCACTATGCTTTTGTTGCCTATCTTAAATATAAAGCACATCGCTGTATATATATCGTAAATGTGTATTTTCTCTTTATATAAGAGTAAATTGAATGAATTTTGCACTCAAATATTTAATGTACATTATGCAGGTATGTTAACATATGGTTACATGCGTATATACATACACATGTATATTAATATGAATGCTTGTATGTTTGTGTATTAAAATCAAATAATTTTAAAATTTTTTTACCGTAATCCATTAAAAACCTTTTTGATAATAATGTTATACAAGTATTACAGGATCACCTTAATGTAGTTTCTCTTAAAGGACGTATAAGAATGGAAAATTAACTTTTTGATGGATTAATTTAAATTTTATAAGCAGATGGGCCGTACCTCTGACCTTATTAAGAAAAAGAAAAATTAATTTTTTTGTATGATTAGATTTAGAATTTTCTAAAAATAATTTTTGTGATTTTTTTTAATTTTGGTTATTATTTCTCTTAATTTCTCTTTTTTTGCGTTTATTTTGGATTTTAATTTAAAATATTAAACATAGCTAGCTACCCACAAAACAAAGTTTTAAAATCTTAATTAAATTTTCAAAAATCTGTTCAAACATTCGGAAATTTTTCCCAACAAATTAAAGTTGAATACAATTGTGAATTTCCCATATACAATGAAATTTAAGATGACGTAGGCAATTCCAAATGTATTGAAATGTCAATGAGTGTTGTAAGATGCTTTAATCGCACAAATTTTCATAGCAAATGAAAATTTATGGTACAAGCCATGTCGAATGATGTTTTTTTTATTTATTATAAGAAAATTAAAAATCACAACCATTGAAATTTTTATTAAATTAAAACTTTTTTATCACACATATAAAATTCTACATTTGAATAACAAACGAAAAATCTATGTATGTATAGGTACAAAACAATTATAAATTTTAACAATTTTTGTCGCTGTCATAAAGTTTAAAAATTTAATACAACTTTTTTGCCTTGTTTCTGGCATCTTTTTTATTTTTAGTATAGTGAAATACAAAAAAATAAATTTGTTTTTCATTCCGCGGACTCATAACTCTCATGAGTTGTTAAAACTTCGATTAGATGCATGAAAAATTCTTTTCAAATTATTAAGTAAACATGACCAAAAAAATAATACCTTGCTCATATTATATTCTAAGTTCTTTCTAAAGGCGAAACCTAGTGAAAAATTGTTTTCAGAGCATTGGATTTATAATCACAACCTAAGCTCCATTCATATTTTTATAATCTCGACATAATACGACAAACTTCCTATATAACCGCTTTGTTATTTTTTTTTATGGTATTTGAAAAATCTATATATATAGTTATAAACTTTTCATGTCTGAGAATAAGGAGAACGCAATCCAATTCTGATTGAACAATGTTTAGTATCTAAATCCTGTCTAATAAATACTTTGGCTTAAATCAATTTAAATCTTTAATCTTTTTTAGACCTTAATTTTTTTCATTGCATTTTATTTTGACATATTGCACAAATAAATCGTATTGGAAGTATAGTTTACGGAATTTGAAGAAATTGTCGATAAATTTTTTTAATTATGACACAAATGTATTGGTTTTTTGTCTAAAATAAAAATTTTACTAGATAAAAATTTTAATAAATTAAATCAAAAATTAATTTTCCCTTCTTTCAATTTTCATTTTACATTTAATTCCTTTATCCTCCTCATTGGTATCGGTTTAATTGAATATTTTATTTTTCTCCTAGTAATAATAATGGTAAGAATTTAAATTATTATTTATACTCTAACTTTAGAATAAATATGCAAATATTTTTTTTTTAAATAGAAAACTAATCCTTGTTATAACAAAATTGCATCACTTATTGTTACTTTTTTGTAAATCAGAATTATAATGCTGCTATAAATGTTAATAGGTATTATTAAATTTGGAAAATCCCAAATGCTTAAATACTTAATTGTTAAGAATTCTCGATGATGATCAAAAAACCTTTGTTAGAAATCTGACTCTGTATAATTTTTTGCTAGCCTTGCTCTATTCAAAGATTCTTGCATGAGTCTTTCATTTTCCTGTCGCACTGTAAAAATAATAAAAAAACGCACATTTAAAACTGTAAATTTGATAAAATATTATGTTTAAAATTTTTACAAAATTTGTAAAAAAAAAATCAGCATAACCGAGACTACTTCTTTTAGTAAAGAATATATAGAACTAAAAGGAAAACAACAGGGATTTGGTCGTGTTGAGAACTATTTATATGCTTGTAGAATTTTCATGATGTTTGAAATGACAACAATGAAACAGAAAATCCATTTTCAATAAGGTTGTCAACTACACATTAATATTTTATATATGCATGTATCTATATTAATGTTATCAAAGTATGAATTCACTTAAAAACTCTTATGAATGCGGGATTGATTAGAAAGCTAAAACCGTCATTTAGATGACAAGAGTTTGCTTTCTTGGGCCACACAACTCAAACGCTAATTTGACATTATTATTTGACATTTTAGTTTTTTACAAAAGTTTAAGGTTAAGTACAGGTCTGTCTAACTGAATTTAACCTTAACTCTTTAATTACTTTCTTTGAAATAACGAAGTTATAGGTTGTCTATCAAAACTGCTAAATTTTTACGCAGAATATGGAATCTACTTTATGTTAAACATTTTGGTAAGCAAATATATAATGTGGAATGAAAATTCTGCTTTAGTCAGCTGTGTACCTTTAATTATAAAAAAAAATTATTTTCCACCAAGATTTTGATATTTCTCTCCTTTTTTTTTTCAATGCATACTGAATTTTTTGTCTGCAAAAATATGTCAAGTTGGTGGCAACTTTGCTTGTTTTTGACTTAATGGTACAAAGAAAATTTAGTACATTCTTATTTTCGTTAAAAATTCAGATTGTACCAAAAATAAGAACGTCAAATAGACTGCAGATCTTTTATTTTGGTAGACGGGGATAATACAATAGAATGAGTATAAATTTGTGCACACACATTTATTTTTCATGCGCACCCGAAAAGTTATTTAAAATGAATGTAGATTAAATTGATCCGAATGTTAGTTTGCTTATGAAGCGAGGTTTCGAGCGTTATCATTCGGAACGAGAGGGCTAAATCCAACACGCGTTAATAAATGTGCATGCATATTTATGTCAATTTGTTATGTAATTAAAATTAAATTATAATTATAAGGTAAGAAACAATTACTAATATACTTTTTATTATTTGTAAAGCAGCTCGTAACAATAATGGTTAAGTGTTCATATTTTTACCATCATTTTGTTTTTAATTTTGTTTTTAATTTTTTCATCAATATTTTTAGCTAGTCTATTTAAAAAAGAACTACATTCGAACTGTTAATATTTTGTTCGTTTCATTTAATATTATAAATTTGTTTAAAATTTTTATGTTTTATAAATTTATTTTATTTTTTAATACTAACTTCCACTTTTTAAAATATGATTATTAATTTTTAAATTTATAATTCGCTTTCACTTTTTGTTAGCTTGGAGTTTTAACGTTAATTTAATTTTATTTTTATTTTAAACGTTCAGTTTTTTTTTTTAATTTTTATTAATTTAATTTTTAGTTTTCATTAAATTTACATTTTATTTATATAAGGTTCGTTAAAAATTTTATTTTAATTATTAATATTTAGTTTTGTTTTTGTATTAATTTTATTATTATAAAATATTGATATATCACTACGTTTCCTCTTTCATCTTCATTTTTAAAACATACTTGTTGTATAATAATAGCAAATTAGTTGTTTCAATAGTTAAAGTTTCAAGTTCCTAGCTTTCATCTAAACGATATTAAATACCGGTGTAATGAATTGGCATTTCTCTTGAAAACGTATAAATTTTCTTAGTTTGATTTTGTTGCGTCGATGAACTTGAATGGGTTAATGTGATTAATACAACAAATATACTAGCACATGCTAAACATAAAAATACTGACATTATTATGCATGTTATTTTTTTCCTTTTTCTATCGCCATCATTATTTTCAGTTGAATTGTCACGACTTAATGTTTCCGATTTTAAACCTTTTGCCAATCCAACAGAACTTTTTCGACGGGCATGTTGAAATGGTTTTAATGCTATTGCTGCAAAATCAATTTCACCCGAATTATATGGTGATTGACTTTTATACGAACTAATACTATCATCATGAACATGGCCATAAGATGGTCTTGGACTTTTTTGTATTTCATCATTTACAAAAATATGTTGCGGATTACGATGCAAATTTGTATGATCGTTACGTTGATGCACAACTGGAATTTCATAATCTAAAGTTGGATCTATTATAAAACTTTTTGACTTTTTTGTTGCAATTAAATTTTCACGATATGATTTTACTTTCATACTAGAACTATGTGATTTCCTTGGACTTCGTAATGAGCTACCTGGATGTATTTGCATATCTTTTAATGAATTTGGCGATAAAAATATATCTGATTGCTGTTGTTGTTGAAGTTGATGCTGGTGTTGATGTTGGTGTTGATGATTATTTGATATATCCTCACGTGATTTTAAATAAGCGTTTTGTCGTTTCAAATTTTTCCATCTAACGACACCTTCTGTTACAGTCAATGGAACACTATCTTGTAATCTTAAATGCATTCTACTTTTATCTAATGGAATTGGTGATGATTCCTTTGGAAAATGTTCTGTTGATGTATAAGGTTGACTTGTATATTTCAAGTTATTTGTTTGATATAAATCATCATTTAACGAATGGTGTTTTGTATCTTCTAACGAGAATGTCGGCTTTGTTTGATGATGATGTTTTGTTGGTTCATTAAAAGATCGATGATTTCTATACCTACGACGATTAGGTGATGGTGATCTGCTTAATGATACTCTTTCAGGTGGGCATAATGATGCACCAACACGAATACTACTACCCCGTCTTGAATGATAGCGATCATCTATTTTAATTGTATCGATACTTGAAACTGTTGGTTGCTGTGAATGATGTTGTCTATACGCGATGTTTATTGTATCAGATCGTTTTAGTTGTGTTCTACCACTATGACTTGCTGATGATGATACACCAGCTGATGATGATGGTGTGATTTTCATATGAATATTAGGTGAATATTTAGGATTTTCAGCCTCATCGGGACTTATGATTTCGACATCTGGTAATATTAAATGATTTATTGGTTCGCGATAGGGCACATCAAGTGTTTTTGGAGTTTGTGGATTATAGTTTTCAATTGCCATAGAAATTGATCGATCAATTGACTTGAGTCTAGGTGGTCTTCTTTCTTTCATTAATTCTATATATTTTTTATGTCTTTCGTTATCCATTTTTACAAATATTTTTTATTTCTTTTATTTTAACGGAAAATAAGTAATAAATTTTACAATGTAGTTAAATAACAGTGTTTTAAACGTCTTTTTTTATTGTCAAAAGTTAATATATGTTTTTTTTGTAATGATTCCTAAAAATATAATAGTAATGGATATAAGAAAGTTAGGTAATATAAAAATAAATGCAAATATTTGTTTTTGTAAGAGGAGGTGGGGGAAACCAAATTTATCTTTCTTTTTTTTAAATTAATATGAGAAATATAAAAGAGAAATTTAGTTTGGGAAAGGAAATTTTTTTTTTGTTTATTATTGAAAGCATGTTACATTTATTTGAAACGCCTAATGTTAGAGAAATCGACGTTATAGCAATATTATTTAATTTTGTTTGAGTGTTGTAACACTGGGATTTATCACAAGAGCATAGTGCTAGCGTTAATAAGAATTGTCAAATTAACTTCTTTTCCTGAGTTTACACACTTTAGTAGTTGCCTGTTTCATAATTTTCAGTACTTTTTCCAATTTTTCGTTTCCTAACAAATTAGTTAGAGACTAATTTAATTGAAAGAAACAACACAGCAGCGACTGAATTATTTTAACTAAACGAATTAAAATAATGAAGTTGCGACTTACCAAACACAAATTGAAGCAAACATAAAAATTAGCGGTTTTCGGAAAAAATTTTTGGAAGATTTTGAATTAAAACAAATAATATTAAAGAGAAAACATATATACACAGTTTTATTTAACATCCGCTAGGCGCTGTCATTTACTATGTGACAAACAATTGAAAAATGAATTCTTACGCTAAATGAACTTTAATATTTCCAACAGGAAGTAAATGTAAAGGAGCTGTAGTATTGAATTTCAAACATACATAAACAGCACCCCATATTGCGTTCAATGGCTAAGTATTCTTTACTTGTGTCATTATTCACTACAATTCAATCAATTTTGACAGTATACTGACAATTTTTTAATTGAAATGTAATTGATTTTTCATGAAATAAATGCAAACTTGTAATTTATTAAACAACTCGCATCTACTACCTTTGACCTTTTTTTACTATTTTTAACTTTTATTATTGTTGGTTAGCTATTAATGTTTTCCTAAAAGCAAAATTCGTTAAATTTCAATTAAATATATACGTTCATTTAATCGATATATACATACACACATATATATATTTTCAATTTAATTAAATATTATCAAATATCTCAATAAATAAAACAAAAACAAATAAGTATATACAGTTTGTCCACAAAAACCATTCAATATATTTTTTTCTTAACCACACACAAATTGATATACAATAATGTCCTGAAATACAAAATGAGATGAAAAAAATCAAATAACAGTTACTTGTAACATCTTTATATTATAATATGAGTGTAGTCATTCATACCAACCCCATTTAGTAATAAAATTTGGTGTATACTGTTAAATTTTTTAGCAAATTTCTAAATAAAAAAAACGAAAAACCGAATATTTGGAAAATTTTTAAATATTTTTCCCTTTTTTAGTATTGTTTTTAAAACAACATCCTGTACACGCCATCAGACGAAATCATTGTTTTCTTCTTATACACTTTCTTTGAAACTTTTCTGTACTTTTTTTTTGAGGGTATGAGGGGTTTACGTCACGTAAATTTTTTTTTCTAAATTCTGAAAAAAAATTAAATATGATAAAATAAAAAAATGAAAAAAAATTCAAATAATCATTTTAATGCTCATCATAAGCACACACC